ATTTCAATAATTTACCCTTTTTTTGGTAAAAACTTCTTCTTACCAACTGCTTCTAAGGAATTACCCGAGTTTCTGATGATTTTCCCACTTTTTTCGGGAAAAAAACTACCCTTTTTCAACTTTTTACCAATTCGTTTTAATGAACTATCCGAATTTTCTAAAATTTACTCACGCATTTGGAAGAAAAAGACATTTTGTCAACTTTTTCCCGACTGATTTTAATCTCAATGGAATGCTAACTTCAATTAACGACGTTCGACAGGCCCCTCCTCCTCCTCCTCCTCCTCCTCCGTCACTACCTGTGGCCGACACCCCCGCTACCCCAGCCGTGGTCGAGAAGGTCGCCAACGTTGAGGACATCGACGGGACCAGCCATCCCAGCATAACAGGAATACCTCCAACAACTCTTTATTAAAGACTACATCACACAACAACAACAGCTGCTCGAACATACATCAACATACATGGACAACTTCAACTGGTGTAAAATCCACCATGGGGATTCCTACTGTGGAATTGCTTTACTAAGCCGTGTCGATACCCCCGGCTCTCAACAGCCGAGTCGCTCTCGGCAACGATAAGCTTTGGTCTGAGCGAGTTCAAAGGGCAACAAACTCTTTACAGTGAGCACTACTTCTGCTGGTGCTGCAGAGTCCCTGTGCTACTGCATGCGATGGGCAACTGGTTTATCTGCTATAATAACAGTGAAGGCGTGAGAGGATCGCGGTGCTCACCCGGTCCTTCAGAGTGGCATCCGACTTAGCCGCAGACCTACGCTGCTTGCGACCTAGGAAGAACACTATCAAGTCGTAACGTAAGGCTGGTAGAGAGGCGCTGGAGGTGTGAACAGTAAATCACCGCTCAGTAGGCTGTAATCGACTAAGTTACTGTTATTATTGTCATTAGCATTTGAGACTTTCCCACTGTAGAAAACTGACCAAGGCCAAACGCGGCAGACAGAGAAATTCGCCATAGACTTGACAGAAATAGAAAATCCTACTTTTGTATTTCCGCAGTGATGGTTCATCCGAGAGATCCTCATCTGTTTGTGAACTCTGACAAGCTACACCGAGCAAAGCAGCCTCAGCAGCGG